TTATGCACGGGAGGATATGTCTTTGTGTGAGCCTGGATATGCGGTGGTGCGGTGTTGGTGTGCTGGGGTTTGTGGATGCGAGTGTAAGGGGAGGCGTGTAAATGTGTCTGTGCGGGATGTGAGTTGGTGTGTGTGGTGGGGGGGGGGCGTGAGTGGGTACGGGTGCGTGCCTGTGTGTGTGTTGACGTGCACGTTTCTTCAGCGAAGAAAAAACATCACTCCGGAAAATCATGGAATTCAGACTCCAAATAGGGGTTCGTCTCAGTTGAGTTCGATGCCATGCGGGGGCATTCATTCGGGGGTCCGTGCCCCCCTCTCCATGTACCCCCCCACCACATCGCTCCCTATGCAGAGGCTGTTATATATCTCACGCAAGGGGTTATGAACACATTGTGGTTTATTGACCATACTTCACCACAATAGTTAGGGATGTTTAGTCAATTAACAGCCGTACGAAAGAAGGAGAAGAAGTCAGTTGACGCTTTCCAACACGAGGTATAAGATTGTGGTATAAGATTGTGGTGCAATAATATGTTTGATAAAACAGCGCCTTCTTGTACTTTGCACCACGATCGTGTTTTTGTACTGCTTGTAGCTGCAACGTTCTTGCCCCGTGCCCCCTACTGGACATCTGTGGGAAAAAGAGCTTTATAGCTAATCGGATTCCTTCTGCAGTATAAATAAAATAATCTGATTCTGATAAGCCTCGTCGGCCAAGGTGATGACGTCACAAGGCGATGACGTCACACGCCACGCGTTCGCCTGTCACCGTGACCATGTGACTTGGAACGTAACACTGACGTAACGCTAATCTCGCTTGTTACATACAGGGACCTCTCATGTTCTGCAGATGTAGATGCCACTGATTCTTCACGTTGTGTAGATGTAGATGCCACTGATTCTTCATATTCTACTGATGTAGATGCCACTGATTCTTCACGTTCTGCAGATGTAGATGCCATTGGTTCTTCACGTTCTGCAATGTAGATGCCACAGGTTCTTCACGTTCTGCAGATGTAGATGCCACTGGTTCTTCACGTTCTGCAGACGTAGATGCCACTGGTTCTTCATGTTCTGCAGATGTAGATGCCACTGGTTCTTCACGTTCTGTAAATGTAGATGCCACTGGTTCTTCATGTTCTGCAGATGTAGATGCCACAGGTTCTTCACGTTCTGCAGATGTAGATGCCACAGGTTCTTCACGTTCTGTAGATGTAGATGCCACTGGTTCTTCACGTTCTGTAGATGTAGATGCCACTGGTTCTTCACGTTCTGTAGATGTAGATGCCACTGGTTCTTCATGTTCTGCAGATGTAGATGCCACAGGTTCTTCACGTTCTGCAGATGTAGATGCCACAGGTTCTTCACGATCTGTAGATGTAGATGCCACTGGTTCTTCATGTTCTGTAGATGTAGATGCCACTGGTTCTTCACGTTCTGCAGATGTAGATGCCACAGGTTCTTCACGTTCTGTAGATGTAGATGCCACAGGTTCTTCACGTTCTGTAGATGTAGATGCCACTGGTTCTTCACGTTCTGTAGATGTAGATGCCACTGGTTCTTCATGTTCTGTAGATGTAGATGCCACTGGTTCTTCATGTTCTGTAGATCTAGATGCCACTGGTTCTTCATGTTCTGTAGATGTAGATGCCACTGGTTCTTCATGTTCTGTAGATCTAGATGCCACTGGTTCTTCACGTTCTGTAGATCTAGATGCCACTGGTTCTTCACGTTCTGTAGATGTAGATGCCACCACCGCCATCTATTGCGCGCCGGTTGAACTTACGACTCTCGGTCCGAACAGGCAACTGGACATACGGACAAGGTTTGTTCGTATCTCTGAAAGTTCGTAAGTCGAATTGTCATAAGTAGATGAGTCCCTGTACAGCACCTCCGAGGACAACACGCACGTTGGGACGCATTGTTATGAAAATCGTGCGCACGCAATGATATTTCTTCCTTGCTCATCGAAAATCGTCACCAACCACCACCAGAGGCGCAGTGTAGGGCTGAACGATTAATCGATTTCAAATCGAAATTTGAAACAATGCTATTATCAAATCGCAAAGGCTGCGATTTGAAAAGTCCTCTTACTTTCTTATTGGAATAGTTTTATTTTTAATTATTATAACCTTATTTATGTAACTTAACCATTGTGCTCTGTTTGATTGTTCTATTTCAATTAAGACTTTTTAATAAATACATCCTTGCATTAGAATAGATAGAGCAGTTCATATTTTGAATGGTATCACGTGGTAACGCTCCATCACATGTTTTAAATCTATTACACAGTGAATATTGAACTGAAGCTTGACTTACATTTTTTTTATCGCAAATCAAATCGCAATCGCAATATCTGTCAGAAACATCGCAATTAGATATTTCCCCAAATTGTTCAGCCCTATCGCAGTGGCCGCAGTGCACTTGATTGTGCTGAACCGCGTTCGATTTCCCGGCACGGCAGATATCCGCCATCAGTGTCGGTGATCTAAGAGCGCTTCGCTTCGAACGCGCACTTGAACCGGCGTGGTGAAGTATGGTCAAATCTTCCCCCCCCCCACCCCCTCCTGTGTCAACCCTTCGAGTGAGGTGGATAATTGCCTCGAGAAGGCCGTGGGCAATAATAGCTACCGCTTGGGGAGGCTTTCATCCAGCAGTGGTCTTGACAAAGGAGCTGTAGATTAATAATATTCATTGTTAAAATGCACGAAAGACGACTGAAGGCCGTTGGCTTGGGGTTATGTATTTTCATTCGAACCGAAAGTGGTCGATAACGTTATTCCGTTACGGGGTTGGACGCGACTAGCAGTGCAACTGGGATGGTCCCGCAGACAAATGTCTTGGCTCGATAATGTCCACGTTGTTTAGTTCGCTCTGTGACCGCAGAAGACTGCCTCACCACCGATACAGTGCGGTTGGTCATGCGTGCAAGTCACATACGCAACCACGCCACCCACGCCGCCTCTGCGCCACCAGTGCTGATTCCCACCACCAGTTCCAGCACCAAAGACAAAGATCCCCCGTATAGCCTCAACAGGGCAAGTGCTGTTAGCGAGTAGCACCGATTAGGGCCGGAACGACACACGATGGGGTGGGTGGTCAGGACCACGCCCGGCCGCCTTTGTCTCCCCAGTGGCGATGTTCACACACCGCACCAGGTACTAATTTGCGGCTGAGTCGACCTAGGGGGGGACCGGGACCGGTTCATATGTTCGTTCTAACCGCTACACTACCGCTCCCCAATCACCACCACTACCAGCACCACCACCACTGCCGCCCACATTGTTGTTATCACGTCCACACCACCATAATCATCATCATATCCTTCCATCTTCATCACCACAACCACCACCACGACTGCCCGTATAATCAAATATCACCACCATCATCATCATATATCACCAATAACTCTACCACCATCACCACAACCAGGACCTCCCATGCATGTGCTTCACTCCATCACCACCTCCAACATCACCACCAACACAAGCAACGCCAGGATTCCTCCGCACAACAAAGATCCCCCGTATAGCCGTTAACAGACTTGGGGCAACCACCACCACCATCAGAACGTCTACATGCACCACCACCCCTCCACCCTAACTCCACCACTAACCACACTTACTCCACCACCACCACCCTTACTCCACCACCACTATCACCACCCTTACTCCACCATCACCACCCTTACTCCACCACCACCATCCTTACTCCACCACCACCCTTACTCCACCACCACCACCCTTACTCCACCACCACCACCACCCTTACTCCACCACCACCACCACCACCCTTACTCCACCACCACCACCACCCTTACTCCACCACCACCCTTACTCCACCACTACCACCACCCTTACTCCACCACCACCATCCTTACTCCACCACCACCATCCTTACTCCACCACCACCCTTACTCCACCACCACCACCCTTACTCCACCACCACCACCCTTACTCCACCACCACCACCACCACCACCCTTACTCCACCACCACCACCCTTACTCCACCACCACCACCCTTACTCCACCACTACCACCACCCTTACTCCACCACCACCACCCTTACTCCACCACCACCACCCTTACTCCACCACCACCACCCTTACTCCACCACCACCCTTACTCACCACCACCTACTCCACCACCACCCTTACTCCACCACCACCACCCTTACTCCACCACCACCACCCTTACTCCACCACCACCACCCTTACTCCACCACCACCACCCTTACTCCACCACCACCTTACTCCACACCACCACCCTTACTCCACCACCACCACCCTTACTCCACCATCACCACCCTTACTCCACCACCACCACCACCCTTACTCCACCACCACCACCCTTACTCCACCACCACCACCCTTACTCCACCACCATCACCCTTACTCCACCACCACCACCCTTACTCCACCACACCACCCTTACTCCACACCACCACCACCCTTACTCCATCATCACCACTCCACCACCACCCTTACTCCACCACCACCACCCTTACTCCACCACCACCACCCTTACTCACCACCACCACCACCCTTACTTCACCACCACCCTTACTCCACCACCACCCTTACTCCACCACACCCTTACTCCACCACCACCACCCTTACTCCACCACACCACCTTACTCCACCACCACCACCCTTACTCCACCACCACCACCCTTACTCCACCACCACCACCCTTACTCCACCCACCTTACTCCACCACCACCACCCTTACTCACCACCACCACCCTTACTCCACCACCACCACCCTTACTCCACCACCACCCTTACTCCACCACCACCACCACCCTTACTCCACCACCACCCTTACTCCACCACCACCACCCTTACTCCACCACCACCACCACCACCCTTACTCCACCACCACCACCCTTACTCCACCACCACCACCATCATCGCGCCGTCCACGCCTCCTTCTCCTCCTCCCACGCGCCGCGTGGAATGCGCGCCCCGCACCCCCCACACACGCGCGCGCGCCACTGACACACGGCACGCAGGACACGCTGCTGCTGCTGCCGCCACCACCACCACTCATGTGCTCATGTGCACGGGGCATCAACCCAGAGCTCGCGGCTGTGTTACAGCGCTGCGTGCCCGTTCGCGGGGGTCGGGGGGGGGGGTAGAAACAATTACGACCAATTACCGGGCAGAAACGAACGCGATAGCGCGATCATCATCAACACTCAAGTGTCGAGGTTCATCTTCGCGTGATAGTACACCCCCGTTAGTTTTGCGTTGCGCTCATCGCACTCGTGCGCTGATACAGGCGGACAGAATGAGGCACGGATGAGGGTAGAGCGAGCGGTCGGCAGCGAGTTTTAAGGTTGGGCTGCTGCGATTCATGAGCAAGCGTGCGTGGCTGGCGGTGGTGGTGGGGAGGAGGAGGAGGAGTAGGAGGAGGAGGATCGTTGCTGTCGCCGGAAGAGAGATCGCATCGCCCGTTCGGGGAGAGAGCTGGGACCAGGGCTCAGCCGAGCAAGGGTCTCCGTCGATTCGCCGGTGAGTTCTGAGAGCCGCAGGTGAGACGTGAAGAGAGAGAGAGAGAGTGGGAGAGGCGTGCCGGGGATGGAGAGAATGGTGGGATGGGGATTGAGCCGGGTGGGTTACGAGTCGCGGTGTTGAGTCCCGGTTGGAGTAAAAAAAAGTGAGCGGCTCCATTGCAGCGTGCAACACGGTTTTGTGTTTGCGTGTAAGTGTGTGTAGGTGTGTGTCGTGTGTGGTGGGTGTAGGTGTGTGTGTGTGTGTGGTGTGTGTGGGTGTTGTGTGTGAGTGTTGTGTGTGTGAGTGGTGTATGGATAGGTGTGTGTCGTGTTTGGTTTGTATGTAGGTGTGAGTGTGTGTGTAGGTGTGTGGTGTGTGTGTAGGTGTGTGTCGTGTGCGGTGTGTTTAGGTGTGGGTGTGAGTGTAAGTGTGGGTGTGTAGGTGTGTGTCCTGTGTGGTGGGTGTAGGTGTGTGTGGTGTGTGTAGGTGTGTGAGTGTAAGTGTGTGTGTAGGTGTGTGTAGGTGTGTGTGTGTTGTGTGTGTCGTGTGTGTGGGGTGTGTGTGTGTCGTGTGTGTGTGGTGTGTGTGTGGTGTCTATGTGGTGTGTGTGTAGGTGTGTGTCGTGTGTGGTGGGTGTAGGTGTGGGTGTGTGAGTGTTGTGTGTGTCGTGTGTGGTGTGTGGAGTGTGTGTAGGTGTGTGTGGAGTGTGTGTAGGTGTGTGTCGTGTGTGGTGTGTGTAGGTGTATGTCGAGGCGTTCGTGGACGTGAATATGAGGAACGCAGACACCCAATTTCGATTCCCGGCCACGGCTTTACAGCGCCGCCTGAAATCTTCCTGGCCCTGTGCATCCCCTAGCTCGACTCAACCTTAAATGAGTCGTACCTGGTTCGGTGTGTTAACACCAGCGCTGGGGAAACAAAGGTGGCAGGGCGTGGTGCTGACCACACGACCGACTGATGCACCGTCCCGGCGTGCATTGTACACAGGGCTGTGTACACAGGGCTGTGTACACGTGTGAGTAGTGTACCCCTTGTGTCCATTGTTCTCTACGCGACTGCTACGTTGCCAACACGATGGCCAAACACTCAATTCGGCGTACAAGCGTCCGTTCGTCTATCGTCTAGATGCGTGTATGTACTTACCCCCCCCCCCTTACACGTGCTAGCCTACGCGTAAACACTCATTACCACTGGTCCGCTCGCACGTGTCACCCTTTGTACGCAACTGACGTGCGAAGCCAACGTTGTGGTGGCGTGTGCCTGCAAATCATTGGGCCATCTCCGGGGCCCAACGTTGTGGCACCGCATCTCGCTTTTGGCTGCCACTCCGCCGTTAGTCGCGGCCGCTGGCAATCGTCCCTTCCGAGTTTACTCTTCTCGAACACGCGGTCGATGTGATGATGACTGTGACTCGCGTGCACGCGTTCTTCCAGTCCACGTCGCTCATCTCCCTCCTGTCTGTCTGTCTCACTCCCAAGTTACGCCTTCGAGAGATGCGCGGCCCTTCTCACATTTGCATTTCGTGGTGGAAATGTTTCTGCTGAGCCATGTCATCATTTAAAATTGAATGAGTTACAGGCCACTTTCGGACCCCGCTGCTGGATGAATGAGGGCCTTCCCACGCAGGGCGAGTAGTGTTGGAGGTGGTGGGGGGCGTTTGACCATATCTCACCACGCTGATCAGTGCGGGTTGGTGAAAGCGGGGAGCATAGAGAGTAGAGCACAACAACAGTGACTGCTTGGCTTCCGAGATCTGGTTGCATTCTGGTTGATTCGGTCACGCGCAATTGCACGTGTACAGTACAGTACTATGTTGTGCAGTATTGAAAAATGCAAGGTACTAGTATTTTTTTTCAAATGAAGGTCCCAACTTTTAAGTGTGACAGAGTAGCTTAATTTGATTGCACAGCCTCCAAACACACCGGATGCAACATTTTGGCAGCTGATGAACACCTTCAAACGGTGGGTCTTCGTGTGTAACGCGAAGTGCATATACGAGATGCTGTGGTGGGTATCATCTGAGTGAGAGCGATGTGGGTCGTGGCAGCGCAGTGCAATACTAACCTAAGCGAGCCGAGTTTGATTCCCGGCCACGGCTAGCATCAGTACCGAGTGACATCTGAACCGGTCCTGACACCCAGTCCACCTTCCCTTCACCTACCTACATTGACCAGAGCGTGGTGAAGTATGGTCAAACAACTCCCCATCAGTGACAAGGCACAAGGGAAGCCGTCTCCAGCAGGGGATTGACAGAGGGCTGTAACTTCCCTATCAGTAAATTATAACTCTCCAAAAATATTCTAACGTGCAATCGTATAACACGGTGTATAGCCAATGATTGTTTTTGCAAATTTGGTGCAGCGTTTCTGGCATTAGATAATTGAGTTGGGGTTATATTCGATGGACAGCATAGTTATGGGATGGCTCGAAGTATTATTCCAGTATAGAAAATAGGTTGGTGACAGAATGACTCTGCAGAGTGTGAGTCTTGCTTTCCTCGTATTTGTGTGGCTACTCTCTAAGCACTCCGCTCTCGAGATAAATAAAATACATCTGAAAAGCAAAAAAAAAGAGTCTAATTTTCCGTTGATCAGCTATGGAAGTTCCATATCGCCATGGCAGGGTGGTGTAATTTTACTGATTACAGAGCCAATGACATCAACAATCTTTGGAGGTACTTTCATTGCACGATCAATAATTATGATTTATGAGCGGTTTCTTTGGGAGAGACCGCGGAGAGTACAATGTCAATGTTTTTTTTTAACTCTCACCCTTCACTTATCCGACAACTTGATTTGATTGGCCGTGTTGGGTGCTGGAGGATTATAATTAAAGCGCATAAATATTATACTTACACAATCTAACGCCAAAAAAACTGATGGCAATTATAGTAATCACTAATGGCATCCCTAATAGAGGTTTTTTGGGTTAGATCGCGTAAATATAAATGTGTCGTTAAACACGCCACCACCCTCCGCAGCCAATTGGTAACCGAACGTGCCAATTCGTCACTAGTACAGCACACCGGTGTGTTGGAGAGCAAATCCACAACATCTACAATCCGAGTACGACGTTTTGCCAGTAATTACAACCGGCATCATCAGGCGGAAGCCAGATTTTCTGGAGAAATCCTCCTGTTCCGTTCCTTAAATAGAGGGATACACGTGACTACGTCACTTGTGATGATGACGTCATTAAACCTGCCAATAGTATCGTCATCATCATCATCGTGATAAAATGTATCACGTGTAATTCACACACGCACGTGCCAATGCGAATCGTCCAGCAACACGTCCACAGTTGTGTTCTAGGAGTGGTGGCGCAGGAGTTAGCGGGCTTGCACACGGATGCCGTGAGCCTCACCAATTCGAAGCCTGGCAATCCGGGTTCGATTCCCGGCCGTGGCTGAACGTGAGTGGCGTGGTATCTAAACCGGTCCTCGGCTCCACTGCGTGGTGAAGTTTGCTCATGCAACCTTCCTTCAATGGCATGGGGAGGCCATCATCCAGCAGTTGATTTTTAGTATCCTGCTCCGTTACCGCACTCGATAGGAGCCAATCTAAAGCGGTCAGGATGACTAAAACTAAACTGCTCAAACGAAACTATTTTTTATTTTACCGGGTAAGGCCCCACTGAGCTATGTAGCTCTTTTTAAGCAGCGACCTGGCTCTCAATAATGACAGCTCAACGAAAGTGGCTGACCACGTGGAAATTTATAGCAGACAATTAACTGAGCACACGTTGGCTCTCAATGTGGAGCGATAAACCGGAGGGCCCGGAGAAAAATCCACGCGACCACGGGGGAGAGAGACACCGCAAACTCCAAATTTACAAGCGTCAGGGTCGGGATCGAATCGACTACCTCCTGTATACCAGACGAGGTAATTAACATCTCCTAGCCACCGTGGCGCGTCTGATCTAGCACTCCCTAATTCGCTCTAGTCACCCACTCATCGGTGGTTAGTTGCCCTCCTTATCACTCATCTATAGCTACGGCCATGGATACTGGTCCTGTGAAGTCCGCTCATTAATTAATCCACTCACTGTGTGCAACCACCATCGCCACCACCACACTGCAGGTCACAACAACACACTTCCTCATGCACTCACTCGCAGACTCACTCATCCACTCACCCAGTCACTCGCCCACTAACCCACTCACTCACTCACCCACCTACTCACTCACTCACCCATCCGCTTATTCGCTCACCCACCCACTCACTACACCGCAGGTCACAACGCCTCTCTTTCTGCTGCTTCACTCGCACCGCTCCACTTTGCAATTTCCCTGCAATCACCGTCTCTTTCCCTAATGTCTTAAAACCTTGCGCAATTAAAATAAGCGAGTGACACTGCTATCTATTGCGACTTCTTTAACAGTGCTGTTTGTGGCTAACCGATGGGCGTTTTGGGCCTGTGCTCAATCATAGCCCTGTTTTTTTTTAAGGGCTGTGAATTTTCATTATTATAATTTTTACGAACAAATGGAACGGCGTTATTTTTTACTGTAAACCCGCTGCAAGCTATTTCTTTCAAATGTATCGAATATAACTCGTTTAAAGTGAAGCCACGTTAAACATAATGCGTTAGACCACGACTAATAAAATTGATAGACCCATGATGATAATAACTTTTAACGTATAGAAACAGCTACAAAAATACTTAAAGCCCAGGAAATTCATCTTAAATAATGATAAACAATTTTTTTCCAGCCTGGTTTTTAAGGCAGGCACTGAGTTCGTTTCACTGTCTCCCTTCCAACAGAACATTGTTCCACAGAAGACACAACAAGCGCTAACATACACATATATATAACGACATCATTTACCTCCAGCCCTTTGCAAATCTACTGCTAGTGAAATGGCTCCACACGCCATCATCACGATCTTTTGACCATACTTCACCACACTGGTGAGCGCCGTTAGTGAAAGCGGGGTGGTCAGCAGTCGCTCACCGTCGATGCGAACCATGGCCAGGTCGCTGGGGTCATAGTGCAGGCCGCCGGGGTCATAGTGCAGGTCGTTGGGGTCATAGTTCAGGTCGCCGGGGTCATAGTGCAGATCGTTGGGGTCATAGTTCAGATCGCCGGGGTCATAGTGCAGGTCGTTGGGGTCATAGTTCAGATCGCCGGGGTCATAGTGCAGATCGCCGGGGTCATAGTGCAGGTCGCCGGGGTCATAGTGCAGGTCGTTGGGGTCATAGTTCAGATCACCAAGGTCAGTGCAGGTCGCCAGGGTCATAGTGCAGTGCCATAATCACTGGCCCCCACCGCTTTGCGCAATTCTCAATTTAAAAAAATAATGGCCATACATAGCTTTGCCGCACTTTTGTCAAGAGTCTTGAGGTTTTGTGAGGTTTTCCTGTATAAGGCGGGGGTGGGGTGGAGGAGGTGGGGTGCATGCATGCAGGATCCGTTCAGCAGTTACTCGGCCACTGATGTTATCCGCGGCTGGATATTGCACTCAGGTCGCCGTGTCAAGAATGTATTGCGCTCACCGCTGTGCTCGTCTAACGACAACAATACGAATTTGATTAGCATTCACAATGCCGATGCTAAGTACTAATTCTTAAGGCTCATCATTGCTGCCGCCGCTGCTGCTGTTGTTGTTGTTTGTTTTTTGTCGTCCTTCGCAGCTCTACGCGGGACAAAGGAATCTCGACTTCTTGCTGCCCCGGGCGAGAGACACCAACCCAACCGGCCGCTTGAACCACCACCACCACTCCAACCTCGCGGTCTCCCTACCCCCACACCCTTCCACGCCGTGCCCTCGGGGGTGCGCCCCTAAACCGATGAGGAATGACCCTCGTGCTGCCTGTGAGCGGGGTCGGGGGACTGCCCGCAGAGCCGGCCCCCGCCTGGGAGGCCCCCTCGGAGTTTGGACAGCAGCTGTGCGAGCGAACGTACCCCGACGGCCACACTCCCGGTATGGCCACGTACGGCGCGAATGAAGTTCACAAAGCGTACACACATACACACGTGAGTCACCGTCCCGTCGCCCCCCCCCCCCAACCCGCGACCCTGTAACCCGTGAGTCACACAGGATGTGCGATTTGCGTGCGCCATGATGAGTGCGGTCATTGGGGGGGGGGGGGGGGGGTGAGGAATGTGTGGGGGAGCTCGCGTAAGCGGTTGGTGCGCCTACGTATGGTGCGAAAGAAGTTCGACACATATACACACAACATACATACACTGTACTACAATGAACTATGGCAAACCGGGTGACCTCCTTGGTTTGATTGTCAAAGACAAGGCGACACGAATTATTTAACACACCGCACTGGGTATTATTAAATGACTGAGTCGAGCTAGGGGAGGCCTAGGACGGGGTCAGATATCTCTCGCCACTAAGGTCAACTGTGCTGGATTTGTAGAGCAGGGCACCAACCTTGATGCACACGTGGACACACACACACACGGCAAATGATTATATTGTTAAACAAGGGTTTGAGATCCCATTGAGATTAAATAAATATTAGGGTTGAGTTTCATATCTAAACATTTCAGGTGTAAAACATTTTTAGCAAAATTGGATATATTCTCCGATTTGTGGATGGTTTGCATCGTATAACAATTTAACGTGGCAACAAAAGTGACGTCAACCGATGCCACGTGGCACCACTTTTGGAGGGAAAAGTGTGGACGCGACACACCATGTTAGTGATGTCATTTCCTGCGACGTTCCGTTATCGGATCATTCCGAGAAAAAAAGAAAATAAATTCCAGATAATCCAAAATGTTGGATCTAGGTCTGATTTTCAAATTATTGTTTTTATAAATCCAAAACTTTAAATATTCTCACGAATGCAAGGCTTGCACTATAGTAATTTCTCCTTTGATAATGCATCACATCCTCACTAAATCTCTTAGATTCGTTCAGAATGCTTCTTCTTTTCAAAGTAAAGCAGAGTGCCAGGGGAAAGCCCCACACGTCTAAGGGGACAACATTCTCTATATATTAATAAATGTAACCTGCACATTGACACATATATATAGACCACTGATACTGGTAGGAACCTCTGGTTACACCAGCCCACAGGGGATTATTGTGTCTGTCCGTCCGTCGTGCAGGGAGGGGCTGGGTGGGGAGGGAGGGGTTGGGTGGGGAGGGTGGGGAAGGGCTAGGTGGGGAGGGGCTGGTCACCCCGTGGTGCCCTTATAAAACTCAACGTTTAACCTACTCACGCCGGCTTGTGCCCGCCCTCACAGTCGGGCATATTTGCGGAATACACCACGCCGCCGTTGACCTTGGCCATTGACCGAGCAACCCAACGTTCCTACCAGCTCCCTCCGCAGGAATGTGTTATAACGTTACAGTGCGAACTCACTGCACTATGAACCCGGCTAACCTGCATTTGATCGTTAACCATGGCTAGCATCAGTGGAGAGTTATATCTGAACCAGTCCTGGGCCTCCCCTTGGCCGACTCAGCCTTAAAATAGTACCTCGTGTGGTGTCAAAATATCAGCACTGGGGAGAGCAAGGCGGTTGGGCGTGATGCTAACCACACCACCCCCTCATGTGCTGATGTTGACCTCAATAGATTAACAGCACTTGCCCCAACGGTCTACAGGTAATAGGGGATTTGTTTGGATGTGTGCCTGTGTGTGTATGTATTCTGTGTGAATTGTTGGGAGCGGTGGTGTGAACCCGGCGTCCCGCTCACGGCCAACACCAAAATGAGTAGCTGGTGCGGTGTGTAAACATCGCTACTGGGGAGACAAAGGCGGCCGGGCCTGGTGCTGGCCACCCACCCCCCTCGTGTGCTGTGCTGGCCTTCATAGGTGCTCGCTCATCGCACTTGTCCCAATAGTGTGTTCAGGCTATATGGGGATTTTGTGCCTTTTTTATGTACGCATATCTATGTGCATGTACGAATTGTGTGATGACCCCGTGTATGTGTGTATGCATAATCCATGTGTGTATCCACGTCTATGCGTGTGTACGTATTGTATGATGACCGTGTATGTGTGTATCCATGTCTACGTGTGTGTACATGCGTGTGTACGTGTTGTATGATGACCATGTATGTGTGTGTACGCATAATTATCCATGCGCGTGTCCACGTCTATGCGTGCGTACGTGTTGTATGATGACCGTGTATGTGTGTATCCATGTCTACGTGTGTGTCCGTGTGTGTGTACGTGTTGTATGCTGACTGTGTGTGTGTATGCATAATTATCCACGCGCGTGTCCACGTCTCTGCGTGCGTACGTTTTTGTACGATGACCCCCCGACGTGTGCGGTGTTGGCTGCCCTCTCCGCAGAGTCGGCGTGCGGTGAGCGCCTGGCCGTGCCGCTTCAGGGCGCCACCGAGATCACGACACTCAAGCGGAAGCACCGAGACTGTGCCCACCACGAAGGACACATGCCGAGCTGGCTGCACGGGGTACGTGCGCTACACAAATAATAACACTGGTCAACAAAAAACAACTTTTTTTCTGGCCTGGACTTTTTCAGGGTGCCGATTCCAGATCTGATCTCAGATTTGCTCTATCACATCTCATTTTTATGCTCTCGGCATACCCCATTTTCATTGATTTTACCCGAAATTAACTCTTGTCACTTATGATTGCAAGTTGTTGCGAGTCAGTGACTGCTTTAGTGTTAAAATATGGTGCTGTATTTTTAAGATAGTGTGTTATAATATAATTTTATGTAGATATCCACATTTATTTAATATTTTTCTTCTGCAGGTTTGATTGAAAATGCAATATTTTATATCTCAAAAACCTGATGTGATAGCCAGAAAAAGTGTGTTGACCAGTATAATTTATATGATTTTTTCTATATATGCATATACGGATATGTGTGAATGTATGCACGGTACGCCATAGGGCGCTATGATGGCGAGATGTTGACTACCTCGCATGGTACGCAGGAGGTCGTGGGGTCGATCCCAACCCTGACGCCTGCAGCAGCAAGAAAAAAAACTTTTTTCTAATTTTCTTGCTGTGGATTTCACACCTGATAATGATTGCTTGTGTTGCAGTCGAAACGTCGTGAGAATTGTTATTGTTTTATATTTACATTATGTTATTATTTCCCTTCTACGTGACTTTACCGACAAAACCAAGAATATACATAACATACATTTTTACACGTAGGCTTTCGCGACCAATATTATTTATAATGAAGGTTTTTGGGTTACATCGCGTAAGTATAAATGTTATTGGCTTGATGTTGGCTGTAATTACCAGCGAAACGTCGAACTCAAATTGTAAATGTTGTGGATTTACTCGGCAACACACCGGTGGGCTGAAGTAGTAACTAATTGTCTGTGTCGGGTGGTGGAGGGTTACGACACATGTATACTTACGCGATCTAACCCAAAAACATTTATTATGCATAACATACATGCTCACATACCTGGACCCAAGCTGTGACGCTGATACCACGTGCATGGCAGAATCTACTGCCCCCACAAATTAATATCCAATCACAGGCCAATATTTCCATCCAATCACAGCTCTTTACTTGGTTGCACGTCCCCGTCTCATCCAATCACAGGCGCTCCGTTGGGTCCTTTCCAATTCTCACTTCCCCAACCGACCAGTTGATGAAATGTCAAATGAACGCCATTACATTTAGATGTCGTGTAAGCTCAAGAGGTTATAAAAGCTTAAGCGTTACGGTTTAAAGGGTTACGCCAAGGGTTAAGGGTTTGGGGGTTTAAGGTTAGGGTTAAAGTTAGGATTTAGGGTTAGAGGATAGGCTTAGGGTTAAGTGTTAGGATGAGAAGTTTGGGGTTTAGGGGTTATGATGATGGCATGGTATTAGTGTTTAGGGGTCAGGATTATGGGTTAGCGGTTTAGGAGTTAGATGTATGGTTGTGGACATTGTACCTAAGACTGACTGACTTACCGTACATCTGTGGGGACGCAAGTCTCCGCCGAAGTAAATAGTGGTACACACACCATGTACATAGTGCAGACATGTACGTACATGCACGTACACACAATTACACGCACACACAATACATACCTGCACAAAGACACATCCCCCGCGGAGCCTACATAGACAATTGGCGTAAGTGCTGTTAGCGCCCAACCTATAACCGCTGGCACGGCACACACGAGGAGTAGTGTGGCCATAACTACGGCCATCCGCCTTTGTCTCCCCCGTGCTGCTGTATTACTCACTGCACCAGTCACTCCGTTATAGGGGAGGCCCAGCACAGTTCAGATAATCACCACTGATGTTGTTCGCCTTGGCCGGGATTTGAAGCCGGGTCTGGTGAGTTTGTCACGCAGTGCGACGAACTCACCAGCTAAACACGCGCATACTTACAGACATCCATGCACATACATATACACATATATGTAGCGTACAAGCTCCCCTGTATAGCCAGACAGACCGTCGGTGTCAGGGCTGTTAGCCGGCACCTATAAATGCTGCCAAGTCGCACGAGGTGGAGAGGGGGGTGATCAGACCCACGCCCCTCCATCTTTGTCTCCCCAGTGTTCATTTTTCCGTACTGCACCGAGCACTCATTTTCAATCGAGTCGACCTATACATACATTAAAGCACACACACACACACACACGCGGTGCAGTGCCTACAAAGACAGACACGCGCACATAGGGGTAACCAAAATAACCCACTTCCTCGTATTCAAGCGAATATTTTTCACCAGTTAACGGCGGGCAGGGGAGAATTGGGGGTGGGGTGGGTGGGGGGGGGCTTCATTTATTTAAATCTGTCCGCCTGTCTACGGTCCCACCGCCGTCGTGTCTCGTACGCGAGGTATCCACAATGCACCGCGACACCGAGGAACGAAATTACGCGCACACAGAAGTTAACCGTGCGGAGCATCGCACCGTGGGGGGTTCACAATTTTCTCGGGGGTGGGCTAGAACCCCTCCCCCCCCGTCCGTCCGTCCGCTGAATGGCCAGGGATAGGATTGCGTGCGTTATCGGGGTAGTGGTGGAGGCACCCATCTCTCTCCGCACGCGTCTGTCTCCCAAACCCACCCCCCCCCCACTCCTCCCCGCCTGTCTGTCCTCCGCCGGCTCTTAAGAAAATAAATCCGCGTTGCATGGTAATGCCTCCGTGGTGCCACGCGTGTCGCGTTAAGCAGATGCCTATGTAGAATTCCGTTTTTGGGGCCTTCCTTCCTTCCATTCACCCCCTCCTCCTCCCTCCTCTTACCGCACCACTTTTAATTTTAAACTCCTAGTGAGATGACAGAAGGGATGTGGACGATGTCGTGCGGATGAGAGGGGGAGAGAGGCGTCGATGAGAGGTGTGCGGTGAGATGAGAGAAGGGATGTGCGGACGAGATAGAGATGACAGAGACTAATTGGCTTTTTATGTTAATTAGCGCGCGTTAATTTATTTATTGAGGATTTGCATTTGAGCCGATGTTTGGGTCACCCGTATTTTCTTCGCCAATTCCCGGGGCCCCTTGAGCTGCTAGGGACCCTGAGCTCTCGCGTGCCTGGTTGGTTTATACCGAAGACAAAGATTCCCCCCACTCCCGTATAGCCTGTGTACACTGTTGGGTCAAGTGCTGTTTCCCTGCGTGGTGTGACCCGCACCTCTCTCCACCTTTGTCTCCCCGGTGCCGGCGTTCGCAACCGATAACAGCTCTTTAATTTATCTGATTTAACAACCGTGTTTAATTCATGCAGTGTTTTCTCTTTCGCACGTAACGTGGCCCGCTCGACTCTCAATTTAGATTGTCTTTTTTTTTCCTTGCCGTGTTTAGTCTTGTTGATTCCTTTCTTTTCAATTTGGTGACCCAGGAGGTCACACAGCTGAGACTGTCCTGGTCTCAGCATGACATCGACGATGGTGTTGATGATGATAATAACGAGCGTCCTTATTTGCGATCACGAGTGATGATAATGATGATGATCACAAACACCACCGCTATGATGACGATGATGATGACAGCTCTCATTGTTGATACTCGAGATGATAATGACGGGGGTGATGGTAATATTAATGATAAAAATAACGTCGACAAGTTGGGTGTTGGTGTTGCTGATGATTTCCGTTCTGCTTGGTCACCCAGTAAATCTTCACCGAGTCTCACGACTCGAGTTTTCAGGAGATTCCTGCCAAGTGTTCGGGGCACGAAGCTTGGCCGTGTCGAGATTCCAACCCAGAAATCTGCCGGCAATTAATGAGACGACTACGCAAACAGTTGCCTGCAATGCAGAGATCGCAAACGGGTTTTGATTCCTTACCCGTATCCGGCCGGGTACGGGTACCCGTTCCCTACCCGTACCCGTACCCTACCCGAAATGAGTGACAAACAGTTACTCACCAGTGACTCACGGCCTACCCGTACCCGTACCCGGCCGGGTATGGGGTAGGGTACGGGTATCGGGTACCCGGTTGCGACCTCTGCTGCAATGACGACCGCCAAACTAACAACGATGCCTTCGACTCTACCCCACCCCACCCCCCATCCAGGGCCTGTGCGTGCCTGAGGAGCGCCTACGCCTGCACAACCTCTCCATGCGCAAGCTGCAGCTGCTCGATGACCCCGAGGCGCTGCTCCGCCGCTCCGTTCTCATCAACAACCTCGTGAGACGTCTCCGCCTGGGCGCCGCCGCCGCCGCCGCCGCGGCCGCCGCCGCCTCCTCCTCCTGCTTCCCGCCTCCCTCGCCGGCCCAGGGCTGGCCGGTGCCCGCCACGGGGCCCTTTTCCAGCGGCTGGGAGTCGGCCTGCCTGGGGCCCTGGGGGCCCGGTCCCTGGACGTCGCAGGTGCCCGAGGCCCACTACCACTACCCCGAGGCCCCGGGGGGTCTCGCCGTGTCGAGCAAGAGGCCCCGCGTGGAGGACGAGCCGGACGGGGCGGTCGGCGGTGGCGGCGACGGGGAGGAAGACGCGGAAGAGGACGAGGAAGAGGAGGAGGTAGAAGAGGAAGAAGATGAGGAGGAGGATGAGGAGGAGGAGGATGAGGAGGAGGATGAGGAGGAGGAGGAGGAGGGCGGGGAAGGCGGTAGCATTTCGACATCCCGAGCGCAGCACCACCAACAACACCCACAGCATCAGCATCATCAACCTCATCAGCATCACCATCCTCCGCACATGCGCTTTTACCCGGTGCTCAATGCGTGCGGAGGCGGAGGAGGTGGAGGCGGACACTGCCCGGCTGCCAATCAGAACCACTACCATTACCACCACCACCATCACCACCACCATCACCACCACCATTACCAGCAGCAGCAGCAGCAAGGGCGAGGCAGCCTCGCGGACACGGCGCTGGAGGACGGAGCGGGAGATTACGGCGGCGCGAGCGTCGTTCCCGTGACGAATCACGGCTACGGGACGTGCGCCCCCTACACGGGGTGCGGATTCCCACTCATGTCCACACAGCAGCAGCAGCAGCATCATCATCAGCAACATCATCACCAGCAGCAGCAACATCATCATCAGCAACATCACCAGCAGCAACAGCATCATCATCAGCAGCAGCTGCCGCAACAGCAGGATGAACTTCGACTACAGGGTTTAGAGCATCAGTCCCGAGATAACCATCCGCATCATCATCACCACCATCCGGATCATCATCATCAGCAGCAGCAGCAGAATAACAACAATCATCATCAGCACCACCATCATCAAGATGTCCGCAGGCACCTCCGCGCTTACGCACAGCCGTCGACGCGGTGCGCTCAGGAACTGCACGGCGATGTGTGGCGCCGCGATTGCGTCCTTGACTGCTCCCGTGACGGGCAGGCGGCGGCGGTGGCGGCAGCGGCGGCGGCGGCGGAGGAGGAGGAGCCGCGCCGCTCACCGGCGCAAGCTCCCGGCTGCGGTGCGCTCGCAGCCGCAGCAGCCGACCCGCGCCAGTGATGTGCAGGGCCACGTGGCCGCGGCGTCATCGTCACTTGACGTCGTCGAGGGGTGAGCGCCGGCGGCGGCGCAGCGGGGTTTTTTGCACACTGCTGCGCTGCTGCTGCGAACACGGTGACTGGAGACTGATCGGTGGCGGGCGATACCTGCACTGGTTTCTGCGCAGCCCCACCCCTGCACTGACCAGCGTGGTGAAGTATGGTCAAATAACCCCCGCGACCGACGCGGCGTGGGGAGGCCTTCGTCCAGCAGTGGATTGAGAAAAGGGCTCTTAATCAGTCCGTATTTTCTATCTTTCACAGGTGACACATCACCAGCAATGGTTAAGGGATCATGTTAGTTGGCGTTCCTGAGCATAGCCGGCGGGTAATTCCACGTTCCCATGGCGGGCCTCGGTCTCTCCGTGAGACGACCACCGTTTACATCCTGCAAAGTGGTACTCGTTTTATCAACCCCTACGGAATGATAGGCTGAGTCGACCCCTCGACTGGTCAATTGAAGTGGCAGCTTTCTGAACGCTGTGTCCAAACTGCATTTCTATACTAATTCCATTTACATATTGCATACGTGTACATACTGTATAGACACATCAGTATAGACACATCAGTATAGACAAATCAACATAGGCACATCAGAATAGATATCCGTTGATGGTGCCACGGCCGAATATCGCACCGGACTTGCAATCCAGAGGCCACCGTTTGAACTCGATCTCCAGGCGCGGCAGCTGCAACGATGTTGCAAGTTTCTTAAATCCCCTTTCCCCGCCTCTGTCCACCCATCAGTATCGGGCAGGTCGGACCGCAGCAAGTCGACCGATGGGTTGCTTGTGGTGGGGTGAAGTGTGGGTTCTCCTGCCAATGTCGAGACGGTCTGGCCAGCGTGGAAGAGAAGACCAAGTGACCCCCTTGATTGGAGCACTGGCTCTTCTTGCCAGCAGTGTGACGTGAGCTGGCAGTTTCGGGGCTGCGCCTTTATCTGTAGACACCCGGTGTCACGTGAGCTGTTTAGCACCACGCGAATAGCACTGTGGCAGAGGCAGGGGGTGGACTACCCCCAGACCGCAGAGGGTACCTTGAACAGGGTTGGGTTGGGGAGGGGTTCAGGGGGTGGGGGAGTATCCTGCCCCCGTACGTATCCAAGGCACGTGACACCTGAAGTGGCGAGTGGTGACCGTCCACTGCACGTGCTCGCCGTCGTCCTCTGCCTACGGGGGGGGGGGGGGACGTGGGTCACGTGGCGGCCGAGGCTGTTCCCTGTGAACGTTACCGTCCGTGGCAGAGGTCGCAAGCGGGTTTTGATTCCTTACCCGTACCCGGCCGCACCAGGGTCGCAAACGGGTACCCGTACCCGGCCGTACCCGTACCCGGCCGGGTACGGGTATCAGGTACCTGATTGCAACCTCTGGGATGAAGCCATGTTGCAGGCGCGGGTGGGTTGATTCTAGGAACTTGAATTGTGAGAAGAGACAAGACGTTGGGAAATGAGTGACAATCGGTGACTCACCAGTGACTCACGGTCTACCTTTACCCGTACCCGGCCGCAACAGGGTCGCAAACGGGTACCCGTACCTGGCCGGGTACGGGTAGCCGGGTATTGAGTAGGGTACGGGTATTGGGTACCCGGTTGCAACCTCTGGTCCGTGGGCAGAATCGCCATCGGTCACGGCACACTCCTCGGTGCAGAGTCGCGTGCCCTTGACGCGCGCACATTCTAACGGCTGCTTTGAGTGAGTTCGACGTCAATGCAGAATGGGGGATATCTTTGTTTTTGGACCGGAGGAAAAATCCAATGAGCTAAGAAGCTATTTTCTTTTGTTTGTTCCACGCGCGCGTCCAGTATGGGGCGGGTCAGCGGGTTACAGAACGGTAAAATAATGGTAAGCAAGTCACTCAATATAAATAAGTGATACATAATTTCATTGCGGTAGTGGTATCGATGGAATTGTGACTTCGATTCATTTAAAAAAAACTTTTTTTTCTTTATTAATTATATAAAAAAAATAATTCAGGTGCATTGTAGCGCCTCTAGTGGCTGCAGGGTTCACGCAAACGTGCAAGGGATATGCAGGGTGGCCCAAAAGTTAGGACACGTAGGGCTATTATATTTATTGAAACAAATCACATAGGGTTATTGGATTTATTGTAATACATGTTCAAACTGACTCCCATTAACATGAATACACCATGCATGAATTCACGTTCGAAATTAATTTAGGATTAAAAAAAAAATAGATTACAACTTGTAATCTTTGAACATTCGTCAATTCTGTTTCGTCTCAATTCATTCAGGGTTCTTGGTTCAGTTTTGTAAATGTCATCTGAAAAGTAGGAACAAAAATGGATATTAATAGTGCCAAAATATAAAATATTAGCTTAAAGAAGAGACAATTGAAATGTTTTAATGCTCGCGTTAAAATAAATGAGATAACCCTATGTGTCCTGACTTTTGGGCCACCCCGTATTAAACCGCGCCTCTAGAATGATCGATTCATGTGGTGGATCGATTAATCTTAAGTGCGTTATATGCACGGTCCATGTGGTCTATGTGCACAACTTATTCAGCCGAAATGTTTACGATTTTTTTTATCTCATCATCAGCAGAATTTCTGTCAATAGCTTTTCATATTTTGATGAGAATTTCGAGACTCGAAAAATAACAACAATAATATTGTTATTTTTGTTTTAAAATTGGAAAATTAAAAATTGTTACATGAATGGGGAATTTAAAAAAAACACATGTAGGTCGTTTTTGACCTCAAAAGTTTCGAGAATTTTTTAAAATATTCCGCGTGTGTCTGTACTGGGGGAGACAAAAACGGCCGGGCGTGGTAGTGGCTACACCACCCCTCCATCTGCCGTGCTGTACCTTAATAGGTGCTCGCTAACAGACACTTGCCTCAACAGGCTGTTAAAGGCTATGTTATGGGGGGGGGGGGGAATCTGTGTCTTTGAAGCACTGCGCTATAAACCGGGCCAACTGAGTTCGATTCTCGCCCATGACGACTTTGTGTCGTACGTACAGTGCTTGTGATGTGTTAACATCTGCACTGGGGAGACAAAGGCGGCCGGGCGTGGTGTTGGCTACATCACCCTCGCCCACACAAATCCTCGTCTCCTCGTGTGCCGTGGCCGTGTCACGTAGTAGATCTTCCCCGTCCCGGCCTTAATGGGTGCTCGCTAACGGCACTTGCCCCAACAGTCTAAAAGGCTACCGGGGTATCTTTGTTTAGTGTGTGTGTGTGTAGCGGTATTGTGGTGGTTCCCTTGCTGCACTGCAAACTCGAAAACCAGGGTTCGATTCCTGGCCACGCATATACCCCAGACGTAGCCCGTGCCTCAACTAGGTCTACTCAGCCTAAAAATGAGCGGTGGCCAATATCAGCACAGAGAAGACAAAGACGGCCGGGCATGCATGGTCCTGGCCATACCATCCCCTTCAGAAACGTGACCGTGGCCGGCCTTAATGGGTGCTCGCAAACAGCACTTGCCCCGATAGTCTAAAAGACTACCTTGGGTGTCTTTGTAATACGCAGGCTACAGTGCATACTATACAATGCAGATAAGCCGAATGCTTCATGTAGCTGCATATAAATTGTATTAATAAGGTGACGTTTAGGGGCGATGACCCTTCTCCACGTTTTTTTTTCCCTTTTCAGCCTGAGCTTCAACAGCACTGCCCCACGCAGTGCCTGCAATTGTATACTGTATTTATCACAGTAATGTGTACAAACGTGTATATACTGTACATAAAACAATACAAAGGGGGGAGAGGGGGGGTCGCATTTTGTAAAGACTCTACCTTGCAAGAAAGGTCATGGAAACCGAGGAGATCTCGCGTCTTGAAATAAAAGGACGTGCATTGATACACACTCGGGTGTGCGTGCTTACTCACTCACTCACTCACGGCAGATGCGGGCAGTGGGTCGCTGCCCAGAGACAAACCGTGGAACGTAAAAACAACGTGTGTACGCCGTCTTTCCCCCAGCACCACCTCCTCCTCCTCCGATAAGCACGACTGGGCACTGCCGGGTGAAGCTAGTGCGAGGCCTGGAGCATTTGTTATAAAGGGGCCCTAAAACAAATATTAAAGCACACATTTTTTTACTTGCATGGTAAAGTAATTGTATTTTTTCATTTTTTGTTATCCAGCCAGATGATACGACAAATCGCTCACCTTAAACACACAGTCGTTCATAAAAGTCGAAGGCGGTATAGTACTATAGTAATAGAGCAAGTGCAGAATCACTTAGCCGGAATTCTCGCCCATGACATATGTAGCTACTACATATGTAGCAACTACTACATGTGTAGTAGCTACTACATATGTAGTAGCTACTACATGTGTAGCTACTACATGTGTAGCTACTACATGTGTAGCTACTACATGTGTAGCTACTACATGTGTAGCTACTACACATGTAGTAGCTACTACATGTGTAGCTACTACACATGTGTAGCTACTACATGTGTAGCTATTACATGTGTAGCTACTTGTGCTACGAGGATCATCCGGCACTGCGGTTGCGAAAAAAGTGAAACATGGGCACTCAACAGGCTCAATGAGCCATTCACAGACACGATGTGAATGGCGATGATTCATTTCTGCCCGCTACTCCTGGCACCATCATCTGGCTCATCAACCACCTCCGATGTAAAATCATGGATGTGGTTCTACATGTATGTAGGTTGAATTTCTTACGCACCGCACGTAGCCAACCGTGCCAATCGGAAGGACAAGCACAGCAAATACAAAAAAAAAACTTCTAAAGAAGTTAAGGAATAACAACAATCAACAACCACATCAACAACCTCATCACCCATACGAAAACGAACACATGGATATAGATTCACATTAAGACACATACATTCACAGAGGCCCATAGACTCACACAGAGACCCAAAGACAGACATCTATACAAACTCACACTGAGACTCATAGACTCACACAGAGATCCATAGACTTACACAGAGACCCATAGACTCACACAGATCTATACAATTTCACACTGAGACTCATAGACTCACACAGAGATCATACAGATTCAGACTGAGACCCATAGGCTCACACAAAGATCTATAGAGATTCAAACTGAGACTCAGACTCACACAGAGACCCATAGACTCACACAGAGATCATATAGATTCACACAGAGACCCATAGACTCACACAGATCTATACAATTTCACACTGAGACTCATAGACTTACACAGAGATCATACAGATTCAGACTGAGACCCATAGGCTCACACAAAGATCTATAGAGATTCAAACCGAGACTCATAGACTCACACAAAGATCATACAGATTCACATTGAGACCCATAGACTCACAGAGAGATCTATACAGTCACACATAGGCCCCTAGACACGCACAGAGGCTTATACGAAGGAGGAGGCATCATCACCGGAGCGACGGTCTACCACTCCCGCTCCTCACGACACAATCATCTGGCTCATCACCCACCTCGATATAAAATGACAGCTGTTGCTCTCCGTCGATATCGCCCACACGATGAAGCGTGCGTGTGTTTTACAAAATCAGTGTCGGAGAAGTTGGGGGTGGGGGAGGGTGACATTACTGGAAGAAAGAAACAGAAACACAGGGCGCGTAGAGTACACACATTCACGTGTGTACCCGGGGCAATTATTCGCGAAGGTGGATACGGGATGGACGTGAATTATTATCAAATAAAGCAGGCGACAGCAGGACGGGAAGGTTTGACTTGCGTGCTCTTGTCCAACCGACTTGAATCGATCACATCAACAAAGCACGTTTTCAATCGGTACACAGTCTCTCCCGGCCGTGGCAAATACAGAAGGCGACTGGCAAAAGTAACAACGGAGGGGGGCAATCGAAAAAGGCGCGCGGGGAGAGAGGCAACGGGGAGGAGTTCGGCACGCGTGGGATGACACTGGGCGACACGGACGGATCGGGGGACAAAGACAAAGACCCCCCGTGTAGCCTTAGCAGGCTGTTGGGGCAAGTGCAGTTCGCGAGCACCTATGAAGGCCGGCACTGTGGCACGCGAGGGGGTGGGTGGCCAGCACCACGCCCGGCCGCCTTTGTCTCCCCCAGTGGCGATGTTTACACACCGCACCAAGTAGCCGACTCGTTGAAGGATGAGGTGACTGTCCCCGCCCGCACCTCCGAGTAGCACGGTTGGCTACGTACGGTGCGAAAGAAGTTCAACATACACACACACAACATACGTACGCACCAAACGAACAATCACACAATATAAATGCGCCCCGATCGGACGGCCAACCGGATGAGATGGAGCGACTGAGATGGAGCGGCTGAGATTGGTTCTTTCGGTAAAGTCACATAGGTAAAAAATGAATTTTTTTATTAATAAAAATAAAATAATGAAAAATAACGTTTTATTATTATTTTATTTTTATTAATTCAAAATTCATCAAAGTCACGTAGGTAAAAAAATGAATTTTAAAGTAATAAAAATAAAATAATTAAAAGATGTTTTAATTAATAAAAACTAAATAATAATAAAAATATTATTTAATGATTATTTTATTTTTATTAATTTAAAATTCATTTTTTACCTACGTGACTTTACCGAAAAAACGAAGAGTATGAATCCTTGCAGTCACGAAAGCTTCAAATCTAGAATTGGTCCTTGTGTGTGTGATAGGTCGTGGCACGGCAAGACTGTTTAAAAGACGCCTTCATCCAGCAGGGGATAGACCATGGCTGCTGCGGCTGCTGCTGCTGATGATTCTGATGGTAGCAACAAAAACAACAACAACAACAACAAAAAACAAGTGACAAAACAAGAATCTGTTGTGCAGAAAACTGCAGCGTGGTCCTTAATGAGTATTGCACAACTAGCAAGCAAGGTGCAGGTATTTGACGGTCGTGAACTAAACACGCGCCAATTAACAAACGAAACACTGAGTGCGAGTTTAATGAGAGCAAGAGGCGCCAGATTGACAACAAAAATCGAGGATACAGGTGCAAGTAAGCGCTTTGTTTTAGTGGAACAGTCACGGAAACACGTGTGATTACAAACATCATATAACACACACACACAGTGTGATTACATACATCATATAACACACACACGTGTGATTACAAACATCATATAACACACACACACGTGTGATTATAAACATCATATAACACACACACACAGTGTGATTACAAACATCATATAACACACACACACACGTGTGATTACAAACATATAACACACACACACACACGTGTGATTACAAACATCATATAACGCACACACACACGTGTGATTGCAAACATCACATAACGCACACACACACACGTGTGATTATACACATCATATAACACACACACACACGTGTGATTGCAAACATCACATAACGCACACACACACGTGTGATTACAAACATCATATAACACACACACACACGTGTGATTGCAAACATCACATAACGCACACACACATGTGTGATTACATACATCATATAACGCACACACACGTGTGATTACATACATCATATAACACACACACACGTGTGATTACATACATCATATAACACACACACGTGTGTGATTATAAACATCATATAACACACACACACGTGTGATTGCAAACATCACATAACGCACACACACATGTGTGATTACATACATCATATAACGCACACACACATGTGTGATTACATACATCATATAACACACACACACACGTGTGATTACATACATCATATAACACACACACACAGTGTGATTACATACATCATATAACACACACACACAGTGTGATTACATACATCATATAACACACACACACACGTGTGATTACAAACATCATATAACACACACACACACGTGTGATTACAAACATCATATAACGCACACACACGTGTGATTACATACATCATATAACACACACACACGTGTGATTACATACATCATATAACACACACACACGTGTGATTATAAACATCATATAACGCACACACACACGTGTGATTACATGCATCATATAACACACACACACGTGTGATTACAAACATCATATAACACACACACACGTGTGATTATAAACATCATATAACGCACACACACACACACGTGTGATTATACACATCATATAACACACACACACGTGTGATTACAAACATCATATAACACACACACACGTGTGATTATAAACATCATATAACGCACACACACACACACGTGTGATTATACACATCATATAACACACACACACACGTGTGATTATAAACATCATATAACACACACACACACGTGTAATTATTAACATCATAAAACGTGCACACACACACACGCGTGTGGCAACAAGAGGCGTGCCAGAATGTCTTCAGAAGTTCTTATTTACGTAGGTTGCGCATGTACACGTGTGTGTGTGTATACACGTGTGTGTGTTTGTGTATACATGTGTGTATACACGTGTGTGTGTATACACGTGTGTGTGTGTATACACGTGTGTGTGTGTGTATATACACGTGTGTGTGTATTCACGTGTGTGTGTTTACACGTGTGTGTATACACGTGTGTGTGTATATACGCGTGTGTGTGTGTATACACGCGTGTGTGTGTATACACGTGTGTGTGTGTGTATATACACGTGTGTGTGTATTCACGTGTGTGTGTTTACACGTGTGTGTATACACGTGTGTGTGTATATACGCGTGTGTGTGTGTATACACGCGTGTGTGTGTATACACGCGTGTGTGTGTATACACGTGTGTGTGTGTGTATACACGTGTGTATGTGTATAAGCGTGTGTGTGTTTGTGTATACACGTGTGTGTGTATACACGTGTGTGTGTATAAGCGCGTGTTTGTGTATACACGTGTGTGTGTATACACGTGTGTGTGTGTATACACGTGTGTGTATACAC